ATGCATTTATATACACCGAGGAATAATATTCGAAAACATATAGTTAATCATAACTTATATAAACCAAATATTAAACTTATAATAATCATAATAAGTATTTATTACTCAAGAAAGAAAATAAATATGAAATGAATAAGTTGCTTTTTACAACTATAAGTAAATATAAAAAATGCCACCCCAACATAAGTGCCGCCCGGTGCGGACTGCACCCACCGCTCCCCTCCCCCCCTGGGTACGTCACTGTGATTATATGACGTAGATTTGTAAAACTATTGTGCTCCCCTTCTGAGTGCGGGGCACGACCCTATGGCACTCACTCCACATCCACCGCTCTGATGTATTCGAGCGCGCTGTGAGGCGCAGAGGACAGCCGTTAGAGTAAAGTCCGCCGTATTTCCCTTCTCTTATGAGCGTGAGTAACATACTATAACAGAAGGTGTACTGGGGATCGAAGTCACCATATTCTCCTCGTAAAACATGCTAGTGCCTTTACTTTCCAGCCATAGTTTGCTGAGGTGCCTCCTAAGTCTGCAGTGCACCTGATTCTTACCCAGCCCTATAATTTCCTTAAAACGCTGGTGGTCATAATCTCCCAGAAGCTCCTAGACCTGTCGTAGCCCCGGAAGACTTCTTTCTGATTCGTTTCTTAGTTCCCTGGAAATAGTATTTGATCAGATCTCGCTGCAGAGCTCCCGCCCTAGGAGAGTTGTGTTAGCCTCCTTCTTCAACAATGCGTCAGCTGCCTCTTTTAATTGCACGCCAACATGGCTTGGTACCCAACACAAAACGACCCGGTTGCACGTACCCAATTCATTGAGTTTCCCCATACTGCCGTGGAGGATGCTGAAAACGAATTAAGCGCTCCAATGGCAGGCTGGCTATCCAACATAATCCCTATTTTCTATCCACGATATCCCCTTTCAAGCCTGTATTGCACGTACAATTAACTGACATGCACGTAAGCCTGAAACACGCTCGGAAAAGTTACATATTTTCGAAGAAATTGGATCTTGGTCCAAACGCTCCCGCCCCTTTCCTATCCAGAACTTTGACCCATTAGTGTACCTTCTAGTGGTGTGAAATCCTACCGGATGCCACAAAAATTCAAGCTCTGAACCCACTGTTTCCAAGCAATGAGGCAAACCTTTTCTCAAAGTTACACTTTCTCACCATGTCGTCCTTAGGCAGAGCCAAAAGCGGAATCTCCCTGAGTAGAGGATCTCGACCCCCTGCCCCCATTACTTAAACTCCATTCCTTGCCAAATGCCCGGGTGGCTTGCAAAGTCAGAATCTTTGTGACTTCGCCAAGGAAGCTTGGAATCAAATACCACCCACCAGTATTTGACCTTAGATTTTCAACAACCGCCCCGCCCACACGAATTGTGCGCAGGTCTCCAGCCTAATCCTGGTTAAGGGCACCAGGGTCGTCTTGCTAGGGTTAAGTCTGAAACGTACATTTGCCCACCGGAAATGCATCACCCGTAGATTCCTCTGGACTATTAGCAATAATAATTTTTTTTTTTTTCCTTCTTCACTCCTAGGAGGAGCACAGGGCTAGTGCATGATATCTATTATGCTCTAGTTTCTATAGACATAGAAAGTTAGCTAGGTATGTGACTAGCCTACCGTAGTTTTTTTTTATTTATATTAAATATTTCAGTTTTTTATTAATATTTACCATTTATTTTTCTCAGTCTTTAGTATCGAATATTATGAATATTTGAAAATTACTTGTTAATATTTATTAGTTTTGCATATTAAGTTATATAATATTGAATATATATTTTTTATAGTTACCTGACCGCAATAATAACAATAGCAATAATAATAATATCATTCAAATTCCCTGACAAACTAGTTTATTAGCAGATATAAAGCTCCACTTTGTGGGTACCCCTCACCATACATGTCCTTAGGGTGTCCCACTCCACAGCGGCCTCTATCATCCGTGTGGTCAACATGTTGGGCGCCCATAGAGAGGTAGTAGAATCTATATCCTTGCCCTCAAGGACCTCACGTGAAGTGTCGAAAGCTTTCCCTCGATTTCCAAGATCGCGCATAGCTTGACCTCTTTTTGTTCTAATGTCCTTACCAGCGGTCTCTATCGATCCCCACGCCCAAGACGATACTGACAATCGCTCAGCGGCTTCCTACACGTGCAACCCTCTGCCAGTTTCTTTCTCGCTTGCCATTAAAATTTTTTTGCTGGGAGAGTCTCTTGCCCTTCTCCAAGGATCACCTTTTCTGGAGATAGTTCCTGGATATTATGAATATGCATATTATGAATTTGCACTAATACCTCACTTGGGGACGATAATAGATCACTTGGGGACATATGGAATTGCACTGAAATATTAAAGATACGTTCCAGTTCTAAGTCAAAGTATTTTTAAGTTTTTTATAAATATATTTATTAATACAAAAAGATTTGTTTGAATTTTATCTTTCAGTATCTACAAAAAATTTTAAAAAACACACTTTTCATTTCAAGCTTATCAAATTGACAGCAAAATGCAAATTTCTTAATTGTTAAATAAAATCAAAATATAGGATTTGTCTTAATTATTGAAAAACATAATTGCCTTTAATGTGTTTACAATGTTAATACTACACAGCATACAATACATGCAATGTACATTAATGTCTTTATATCTAACAAGTCCCAATACTCAATTCTTTTTACGAAATATTACGAATTTTTGGCTTCGTTGCTGGTTTTTTCTTTAAATGACACTGATCGTGTCATATTTTTTATTATTTTTTTCTTTTTTTTTAAGTAAAAAAGAGTTTAATATTTTAAAAAATCTCAGGACATTTTTTAAAATGCTTCCCATTTAAATTCTATTGCACGAAAAAGAAAGAAAGGTAGGAGGAAAGAAAAAATGAAAACAAATTTCACATTAATATTTCAGTATGGTTTCAAATGTTAATGAGAAAGGATGTATGATTTTTTATGCACATTTTGTATTTCCCAATAAGGTAAGTTGAGTAGTGTCGGCTAACAAAAATGTTATTAAAAGTAATATAGGTTGACACATTTCAACAATTTGAATTATCTCATTTCGGTGATTTATACGTTACTTATAAAATTACTTCAAATAATTTCAGTTAGTTTTTAAGTTATTAAAAATAAATATGTATGTACCTACTTCCAATAAATTTTTTTTTTAAATAATTATTTTAAAACTATTTAAAACATGTTATATTGAGTGCTTCAAAAATTTTGCTGTGCTCTTTTTTCATATTTTATTAGCAGGTAAACAAGAGCAATCTATTTATAAAATGTCCCTGCGTGGATATGTATGACCTATCTTAATTCTAAACGGAAAGAATATTACATAAAGAACAAAAATTGTAAAATACCTGTTATTTTACAGTCGGAATTTTTGAGTCATTTGGTAAAATACTAGTTATTTCAAAAATATGAAAATATTCTAATCCGGTCATAAAAATATATGTATGATTGTTTTTTCCAAACATTTTAAATATTTTTTTTTCTTAGGTAATTGATATGAATGATAGTAAGTTTTTAATATTTTTTCAAATAAAAATAGAGGTAAAATTTTGAAGTTTAATTAAAATTTGTATTTAACAAATAATATTTGATTGTATTTTAGATATTATTTTCTAATTCCCTCTTCAAATTTTTTCTTTACCATGTATTTATATCAATATTTAAGAATTAATCTTTCATTAATTATATTTTCAACTTGACACCACAGTTACTCCCCATATCTTGAATTAACTTACCCCATGAGAAAAAAAAGTTGTTCACTTAAAAATAATGAAATGCTTTCAGTAACATATAAAACGTTGAAGGCGAAGGATGTGCTTGTTGTTTTTCCGCTTTTTTTATAATTTTAAAATAATTATCAATGAAAATATTAATATATTTTTTTGATTTTTCAAATATATTTTCTAAATTTTACCTGCTTTATAATAAGTGTGAATTTATTTTAATATTTCTTCTCAAAAAATAGCCACTTCGATTTAAAAAAAACCCATATAAAATAAGGTCGTGCTTTCAAGTTTCTCTCTGAGCATTGGGACTTGTTAGATTAGTGTACGTATTGTGAAAGAAGAAAAATCGCAAATCTTTTTTTCGTCGAAAAGTAAAACTATGCAATTTTTTTTTCGCCGCAATATGAAATAACGCAAAGTGAAACGTCGCAAAGCGAGGTATTAGTGTGCATTTACCTTATTATAGATATTTAAAAATAAAATTTATTTTACTACTAATGTTTTGCCCTTTTTTCATAATTACCTCCATCATAATCTCTTAAAATAATATAAAAAATTAATGGAAAATTATAACGAATCACAATTTTAATTCCTCTAGTTTTGACATTTCCCTCGAAGTAATTTTATTTGCTTCGCGGATCATAATATCATTTAAAGCTGGATTCATCGATTCTTCGCTTTCGTGACGAGCTGATGTGTTTTGTATGAAAATTTGAGTTTTTGACATTCTCTTTATTTTTAATATAGCTTTTTTTCTCTCTCTCAAAAAGTTGAATCAACTTTAACTTTAGTGCGGAGGTTTTTTAAAACGTCAAATTTACATATACTGAACTATTACAATTACATATATATAATTCTGTTCAAAAAAGTAATAAATGCATCATAAAAAAAAACGATCAGTTTTTTTTTCAGAAAAATCAAGAGAAAAAATACTTCGACTATAAATAGCTCAGCTTAAAAACGACGAGCAAATGAATCCAGCTGAGCCCCAATAAAATAATAGCCCCAGAAAATTGAAATTTTGACATCTTAGTTTTTAAGAAATTTTTTTTTCTTTAAATTTGGATCAACTTCAAAGTTTTAATTAACAAGGTTTTTTTTAACGTCAAATTTATATATACCGGCCTACATATTATTCTTATCAAAAGAGTAATAAATGTATCATAACAAAAAAACTCTCAGCTTTTTTCAGACAAACGCTCCATCAAGAAAAAAAATAGTTCGGTTTTAAGTATTTGAGCTGGAAACCGACAAAACCAATTAACAATGGGTAAAAATTGATTTATAAATAAGTCGACGTTTATATAAACATCGATATATACGACATTTCGATATTATCGTTCAGACGTTAACATATTGATTTTTTTTTGCGGAGTACCAACGATAATTTTTTCGGCTTTTGTCGCAAATGTAATATTTTTTTTAATTTTGTTGAATCTTTCATTTATAAATATTCTTTATTTCAGTAAAGTGTTGAAAATCTGGAAAAATTGAACAATTTGCATTATATGAAAATATTAAATTTACTTTAGACGAGGAGGCTCAGTACATGATTTGGCAATGATTTCTGCCTTGAGGATATCCATGTTGTGGTAGCAAAGTAAATAGAAATTCGTCAAAAAACAGTCTAACGTGTCATGGAAGTACCAAATATTTATTACAGTAGGGATGAGTATGTTGAAACTGTAAGTGACTTTAAGTGTTGAACTAATTTGATATTAACAAGTTTCTATAGGCTTCTGGGAACAAAGTCAGCAGAGAGACAATACTATGCGGATCGCAAAACATTGTATTAAACGGGAAAGTTATAGTGCAAAGCGGAGCTATAATAAGAGGAGATTTGGGGAATGTAAGGACTGGCAGGTATTGCATTATCAGTAAAGGAGCAGTCATAAGACCAGCGTTCAAGCAATTTAGCAAAGGGTGTGGTATAAAATAAATTTGCAAAGTGTAATGTTACAAATCTTGTTTCAATTTTTAGTGTTGTATTTTTTCCTCTACACATAGGAGATCACGTTTTCATCGGAAGTGATAGTGTAATATCGGCAGCAAGTGTTGGCTCTTATGTTTATATAGGAAAAAATGCGATTATTGTATGTTTTCACTTTTTTTGTTTTTAATTGACTTTTGTTTTTTTTTAGGGAAGGCGATGTGTTCTGAAAGACTGCTGCATTATAGAAGATGGAGCAATTCTTCCACCTGAAACAACGGTCGCTGGTTTTATGAGATATACTAAAGAAGGATTAATCGAAGGCGGTCAGGGGAATCCAAATTACGTTTCTCCAGCAATGCAAGATCAGATGATTGATTTTACCCAATCCTTTTATGAACATTTTCAAAGCATGAACAATTCCATTCAAAAAACGAAAATAAACAAAAATTGAAATTGCAATAATTTTTACCAGTAACTTGAATATTGTGTTTATTCAAAAATAATAAAAACCGGAAAATAGAAAAACTGTTCTAAAAGCAGTTGTTTCTATTTCTGTTGAAGGAAAACAATTACAATGGAATACTAATTTCGTATTTTTAATGTTGGTAATGTTGATTAAAACTAAAATTAAGAAAGAAATTAAAAAAATTGAAATATTTTCCTACAAGACACTTACTCATTGCCAAAAAACCAATTATTCGTTCCCTACAATATTCCAAATAATTTTGCAGTGTATATTCGTTCTCGAAATCCAGAAAAAAAAAGTTCAAAAATTTTGCGATAAATGCTAGCAAGTATGATTCAGTCATGTATTTAATTGACGTCGCGCAAATTTTAGGAATGATGGTTGTAGAACACCCGTGACTTCCATAATGCGCTTACGGCGTAAATTTTGCAAAGTATCAAATTCCAAAAAGTTTAGTAAAAGCTCTTGACATTCTACACTTTTCCTAAATGCGTTTTATACGTGGTGGAGACGTAAAATAAAAGTAAATCGGGTATCGAAAAAATCGAGCATACTTTTTATATACCTTGTCATATAAATGTTTTTTTCCTAAAATGCAGCATAAAACTTCTATGTTTTTAATAATGCGTGACTTCAATAATGCGCTCCCGACGTGAATTTTACAAAGTATCAAATTCCAAAAAATTTAGTAAAAGCTCTTGATATTGTACACTTTTCCTAAATGCGTTTTATAAGTGGAGACGTAAAATAAAAGTAAATCGGGTTGCGATACTTTTTTAATGTGCCTTTTTTTGTTTATTTCTGTTTAAAATTTTTATTTAATTTTTCTTCTTTTTTTTTTTGTCAATAAATTGTTTTTGTATGAAATATAGAAATTAATTCCCACTTTTTAAAAAATGGCTCCCTTTTTTGAATATTTCGGCTCGCCATTGAAAAAATCAGACTTATCATACATCAGAAATGTATGACAGCCCTGCGTGTTATTTCTTTCACAGATTTTTGAGGGTAATTTTTACTACGAACGTAATTTATGATTACTCGATTAGGTAAATTCGTAATTAACAATACGATATTCGTAATTTTCCGAATTTCAGAGCTACAAAAGGAATTCATGATTGGGCTGATTAATTTTTTTTCAATATGGTATCATTAATTATTAGAGAGCTATTTTAAATTAGAACATTCTTACTTGTTCTAATTGAGGTCGGTATAAGCCGAGTGAATTATACCTTGTACCTTTAATTGTTGTATAGCAATTACTCGAACCTGTAAAACTATTCTATTCTCGGATATGTCTGACCTATAATTGGACGCACGACTGCCAAGTTTTATGAATCTAGCTTTATTATTTTTCGGACTTTAAAATTTGCTTTTGGATTTGTATGGCAACCACCCGAACCGGTGCAGCCATTCCATAAAAATTTTCAGAACATATGTAGAATGTAATTGGACACACGTATGTATACAAAATTTCATATTCATATCTTTATCAGTTTTTGAAATATTTAAAATAAACTCTATAAATTTTTACTATAAACGTATGGCAGCTACCCGAACCCTTTATCCGAATATCCTAAAGAGACAACTTCTGAAAGTTTGGTGTCGATTGCATTATTCGTTTTGAGTTATCTTTCGATCGGACGGACGAAGATGCCAAAATAAACGCAGAAATTTACGCTGGGCAAGAATATACATATATACATGTGTACACCCCAGATAAATCCTTCAAGTGGTTACAAACTCTACGCCAAAGTTAATATCCCTTCACGAATATGGCGGGGGTCCAATTGCGATCCAACCTGCTACAAAAAAACCTAAAAAGAAAGCAAAACAACAAGATTAGAAAGCATTCCCATTCTAATAAATAATTATTTTGCAAAAACATTTACCTGCTACTTGTTTGATCCAGTATCCTTGGCCCTTTGCAGACTTCTGGTCCTCTGAATTATTTTTATTCTGAAATAGAAAAAATAAGAAATATTAGTACTTTATGTACAAAAACGACACAAAGTAGATGGAGGCCGAAATGTAAAGAAATGAAATGTATGATGCACTAAAATACATTGCAAATGGGTTTGGCACTTGCAAAAGAACACTTTCTAAATATATTAAAACACTTTAATAATATTTATTTTGTTTTTAGGCGCAATTTTAACTTTAAAAATTTACTTATAACAAAAAAAAATGCAAAGTGATCTTACCTTTGTTTTGATATCCAATGGCAGCTGACATCTTAGATTATTCTAACATATAAGTTTTGCACTATCTAACTGACCGAGTGTAGCCACAAATTATAAAAACTACAACACAGTGCGATTGGATTAGTGACATCTTAAGGCGAAAAGGAAAGAGAAAAGAACAATATATTCACACTCGAGGTCAATGCCCAATCGTATTTTTAGCACTTTTCCAAAAAATTTATGAAAAAAAGTGCTTATTAGTTTCACTCTGTACGTCCGTCCGCCCGTGTGTCTGTTTACTAAACTTCTACACCCTGGGAGATAGAAACCTGAAATTCTGTGTGTACATAGATCTTTACTAGAAACCCTTTTCTGTACAACAAAACGTTCACCTATCTCCCCCCTCTAAAAGTTATACCCCCCCAAAACCCTAAAAATGCCATTTTTCAACTATTTACTGTAGTAAAACCATATGCATTTTTCAAATTTTACAAACGCAGAAAAGCAGTGGGTTGCTTCTTTTATCACAGCATACTATACTCGAACTTTAAAAAAACAAAATGGCCGTTAAAATTTACCGTTACATTAAATCTGTTTTTTGCAAATTTTTGATGTCTTTTTTCTTATAGACCCCAGGTTGTGAGAACCTGAAATTTTAGAAGCTTTTAGACACTAACAAATAGTTCATTAGACACTAACAAATAGTTTATTTCGTTAGAAGAAAATTCTTTCCATCTCCACCCCCTCTCAAGTTATCGCCTCTTGAAATTTGTAAAATTTGAATTTTTCACGCCTTATATATCCGAAACCACATGCTTTTCTAATTTCTATAAACGCAAAAAGCTAACGGTAAATTCGATGAATTAAAAAATATAATTATTTTTCTTAACTCACACAATTAACCCTGAAATCTCAAATACTGATTAATCGAGCATTACATTAACTCCTCTTTATGTTAATTTTTGCTTTATTTCAAAGACTGCATAAATCGTTCATCCTAAATAAATGTAATCCTAGAAATATGTTCGAATATGAATGAAAATAATTTTAATAGTGTGGTAGGTATACATCAATTGTTTTCAAAGCAGTATTTTTACTTGTTGAAGAAATGTCTTTATATTTAACAAGTCCCAATGCTCAGAGAGAAACTTGAAAGCACGGCCTTATTTTATATGGGTTTTTTTAAATCGAAGTGGCTATTTTTTGAGAAGAAATATTAAAATAAATTCACACTTATTATAAAGCAGGTAAAATTTAGAATATATATTTGAAAAATCAAAAAAATATATTAATATTTTCATTGATAATTATTTTAAAATTGTAAAAAAAGCGGAAAAACAACAAGCACAACCTTCGCCTTCAACGTTTTATATGTTACTGAAAGCATTTCATTATTTTTAAGTGAACAGCTTTTTTTTCTCATAGGTTAAGTTAACTCAAGACATGAGGAGTAACTGTGGTGTCAAGTTGAAAATATAATTAATGAAAGATAATTATTAAATATTGATATAAATACATAGTAAAGAAAAAATTTGAAGAGGGAATTAGAAAATAATATCTAAAATACAATCAAATATTATTTGTTAAATACAAATTTTATATAAACTTCAAAATTTTACCTCTATTTTTATTTGAAAAAATATTAAAAACTTACTATCATTCATATCAATTACCTAAGAAAAAAAAATATTTAAAATGTTTGGAAAAGACAATCATATATTTTTATCACCGGATTTGAATATTTTTTTATTTTTGAAATAAATGGTATTTTACCGAATGACTCAAAAATTCCGACTGTAAAATAACAGGTATTTTAAAATTTTTGTTCTTTATGTAATATTCTTTCCGTTTAGAATTAAGATAGGTCATACATACACACGCAGGGACATTTTATAAATAGATTGCTCTTGTTTACCTGCTAATAAAATATGAAAAAAGAGAACAGCAAAATTTTTGAAGCACTCAATATAACATGTTTAAAATAGTTTTAAAATAATTATTTAAAAAAAAATTTGTTGGAAGTAGGTACATACATATTTATTTTTAATAACTTAAAAACTAACTGAAATTATTTGAAACAATTTTATAAGTAACGTATAAATAACCGAAATGAGATAATTCAAATTGTTGAAATGTGTCAACCTACATTACTTTTAATAACATTTTTGTTAACCGACACTACTCAACTTACCTTATTGGGAAATACAAAATGTGCATAAAAAATCATACATCCTTCCTCATTAACATTTGAAACCATACTGAAATATGAATTTGAAATTTTTTTTTTCATTTTTTCTTTCCTCCTACCTTTCTTTCTTTTTCGTGCAATAGAATTTAAATGGGAAGCTTTTTAAAAAATGTGTATAATATCCTGAGATTTTTTAAAATATTAAACTCTTTTTTACTTAAAAAAAAAGAAAAAAATAATAAAAAATATGACACGATCAGTTCATTTAAAGAAAAAACCAGCAACGAAGCCAAAAATTCGTAATATTTCGTAAAAAAAATTGAGTATTGGGACTTGTTAGATAAAAAGACATTAGTTTAAGGGAAAAATACTACAATACAAGCCATTGGTTTGACCAAACTTTATTTTTTGTACAGAAGAAAAAGTAAAAGTTAAATAGGTCACTTTGATCGAAATCATAAAACAAAAAGATTATGAAAAATAAAATAAAAATTTTAAGTTGAATTTTAAGCTTAAATATCAATATTAAAAATGTATATTAAAGAAGAATGTCATATTGTCAAAAATTATTTGATTGGAATGTATCTGTTTTAAATAATTATAAAAAACTTAATGAAATAATATTGTAGTAAAATATTATTATAAAACAAATGTTAAAATTTAATTAAAAAAATAAAAGATAATTATAATATTACAATTAAAAATTGTAAAATTTTTAACTAAGAAAAATGTTTT